CCAGCGTAGCCAGGGGTAGACGAGAGGTCATCCATTACATGCCTTTTCAGGGGTCTATTTCTAGACAATTGATCGCGTAAACCGCCCGATGGGTAGGCAATTTGAATAGCAATTTACCCGAAAGTAGGCAAGGGTGCGACACGACCGCCCTCAAAATGAAAATCCGAATTACGCCCCTGGGGCGATGTCATTCCCTGTACTTCACAGGGAACTTGACCGCCATCGAGATTTGCTGTACCACGCGTGGCGCGTTGTAGTTGAAATGAGGATGATAAACCCCCCTAAGAGTTGTCCGATTTTAGGGTCATCGCGATGCCCAGTCGATCCCCATGGCACCCGCATGCCAGAGACAATCATGTCATGACGTCGCACTCAAGAGTGAGTCTTGTGGTCAGGGGGAACGGCAGGAGAGGGAGGGGGGAGTGAGGGGAGGGGAGGATGTTTGTGCTCCGTAGCAGACCGGACTCACCACGCCACATCCATTCACACAGTCACTCGAGGAGCATAGCGAACCGGACTGCAGCCTGTCAAGTGCCTTCCGGAACGCCATGGCGAACAAGGACGTGTTTGTGATCGGCGTGGACGTGGGCACGGGCAGTGCACGGGCGGCTCTCGTGTCCGCGTCGTCGGGACACGTCCGGAGAGTGGCCGTGAGGGAAACCAAGACCTGGACGCCTCGACCCGAGTACTTCCAGCAGTCCACGGAGAATATCTGGGGTGCCGTCTGTGCAGCGGTCAAGGTAGACAGACATGAGTATATGGCGCGGATGATGAAGGTAGAAGACCGGGATGGTACGTGGCGGCCTACTGCTGCCCCGGGCCCCGGCTCCGCCCCGCGCCGGAGGGGGTGTGAGACAGGGAAGCCCCTCGCCCTGAGCGGGGAGATGCAGCGTCTGATTGGAAAAGAGTTTCCCATCTCATATGCAGTTGTCTACATAACCTCATGGAATCGTTGAACTTTGTTCAAAAAGATGATATGTTTCAGGAAGTGGCCCAAGATGTACCTGGTGAAAACATAAGGGGGATTGGTTTTGATGCAACATGTTCGCTGGCTGTTCTTGATCAGAACCACTTACCAGTAACTGTGAGCCCATTTGGTAATGTGAAACTGAAATTTTATCACAGTACCTGAAACATTCTGCTAATGCGGATAAAAAATCAATTTAAAGGGAAAATTAATTTATTTCTATTTCTTAGGTGAATCTGATCAAAATGTTATCCTCTGGATGGACCACAGATCAAATTCAGAAGCTGCATTTATTAATAGTTTGAAACCAAAGGTCTTAAAATATGTTGGCGGAACCATATCACCAGAGATGCAAACACCAAAACTACTTTGGCTGAAAAAAAATATCCCACAGTCCTGGAAGTCAGCATACCATTTTATGGACTTACCTGATTTTCTGACATGGAAAGCTACAGGCTCACATTCACGGTAGGACTGGACTATAACATGTTATTGAAGTTATATCAGTCTCCTCACTAACATAAAATTTTATAGCTCATTGTGCTCATTGGTATGCAAATGGACCTACATAGCCAGTGAAAAGAACAAGGAGGGATGGGATGAAAATTACTTTAAAAGCATTGGTTTGGAAGATCTTCTGGAAAACAACTCCGCAAAGATTGGTTGGTACTAGAGCAAGCTAAGCATAAATGAAGATTAAAGATGAAAATTAATTTATACCTCTATATTGCACAGGTAATGAAGTATTGGACCCTGGAACACCAGTCGGCAAAGGATTAAGTGACGATGCTGCTGCACAATTGGGGTTGAAACCAGGAATTAAAGTTGCAACCTCTATCATAGATGCACACGCTGGTGGAGTGGGACTGATGGGATGCAATGCAGAAAAAATTAGCACAGATTTTACATCAAGGCTAGGTAATTCTGCTGTTCCATAGCAAAAATTGATTACTGTAATTTGAGCCGTATTATTGGGCAACAGAGCATAACATCAAATTTGTTTGTTTTGATATTATCTTTGCAGCTCTTATATCTGGCACATCAACTTGCCACATGGTTTTGTCGAACAATATCCATTTTGTGGACGGTTTATGGGGACCATACTGGAGTGCAATGGTTCCAAATTTATGGCTGACTGAAGGTGGACAAACTTGTACAGGGCATCTTGTTGATCATATAATTAACACTCATCCAGCAACATCTTTGGTGAAAAGCAAGTTAGGTGCCAATGAGTATGTTTCCATACACATGAAGTATGAACTTACTGACCTGTAAGCGCACAAATAAAGTTAATATCAGTTATTTTTTATTTTTTTTGCAGACATATTCAACATTACCTTAATGGAGTTCTTGAGGAACTGGCAAAGCAAAAAAACTTGTCCAATACCTCTTTCTTGACTAAACATTTACACATGTGGCCTGATTTTCATGGGAATCGTTCTCCACTTGCAGATCCAACACTCCTAGGAATGGTAAAAAATGTGTTCATCTGTTGTTGTTTTTTTCCTCTTTATTTGCATTATTATCATTCCTTTTTCTGAGTAGGGGGCATTTTACCTTAATTTTACTGCTGAGGCAAAGAAAAAATAACAATCATTCTAAAATCATTTGATGTATTCATTTCTAGGTATCTGGAATTACTCTTGCCAAAGATGAGGAAAGTCTTGCAATTTTGTATTTAACAACTATCCAAGCCTTAGCAGTAAGTAACATTTACACTTGATAAGAGACTTCCATATTTGTTTTATTAATTGATGATTGATTGCATTAATTTTTTTATTTTGTTTCTTCTTACACGCAGTACGGCACAAAGCATATTATTAATGCCTTAGTTGAGGGAGGCATCACTAACATACAAAGCGTGCTGTTGTGTGGAGGCCTCAGTCGAAATCCGTTGTTTGTTCAAGTGCATGCAGATGTCCTTGGGCTGCCAGTTCTCTGTGCTAGAGAACCTGAATCAGTTCTCTTGGGTTCTGCAGTGTTGGCTGCATACTCTGCTGGAATCTATTCGTCTGTGGGAGAGGCAATGATTGCTATGGGTGGTTTTGCAGATGTTGTAACACCAAATGAAAAAGTTGTTGATTCAAGGTAAACCTTGTTTTATGAACTTCCAGAGGAGAAATTGCTTCCACACTATGTTAAATCATGAAATTTCTTACAAAAACATTTACAGATATCATGATAAGAAATTTGAGGTGTTCATGAAAATGGTTAAAGATCAAAAAGAGTACAGAGATATTATGGAGTTGTAACAAAATTTCTGACAACTGAGAGAAAGAGAGAGAAAACATCAAGTCCTTGGTAATTGGTAAGAGTATACAAATTGAAAAAGTGGGTACCTTCTAAATCAAAACAAATTTTAAAAAGGAAGAAAACAGGAGGTCTTTGAACCTTGAAGCATCACATTAAACAACAATGCAATCCTATTTGTTGTGAATACTGATTATAAACCACTTTGGTAAAATAAATGGCAGAAATACCTAGTAAAATTAATCTTCATCAGAGCTTATCCCCATGGAGAAAAGAAAATGAAGATAATGTAAACAAATTCTCAATTCAATCAAGTTTAAGATTTTACACACATAAGAAACAAATGATTAACACTGGTCAGACAACAAGTGATTTTAAGTCAACTCATGCACCTCCTCTAAATTATAATTTTTTACTTATACTATATAAATGAAAACAGTCATGACCCAAAACACTCAGACATCCAACAAACACTAAAGAATCACATATGCAGTTTACTGTGATTTGATATTGTTTGCACTGATCTTAGCTTTAACAGTCTATAATACAGCAACAATTGAAATACCTGTATGAACATTTCTATCACCTACATTGTAGATTTCTAATGTTAAGTCCGATAATCACATTTAATAATCTACCGACAAACTTGGAAAGAGGATAATGTGTCTTCCATTAAAGGAATGTTTCTTTCTTACAACATGATCTAACGGTTACATAACATAAAAAATAGTACACATATAACAAAATGACCATCATTGACCACATCCAAAATTTTGCTGGCAACAAAATTTGCAAGTATTGTTTAGCAGATCAGAATTATTTCGGAGCTAAAGCTTTTTGAATAAAGTATACATAAAATCTAACATGGAAACTGCTCATTGTTATGAGCTAGTTTACATTGTGTCATTCTTGCTTAACCGCTCTCTTTTGGATAGCTCCAAATCAGAAGCAAAACTCAGAAGAACAAAAGAATACAAAGAGGTATTGAGACCACAGACGTAGCTTCAATAGTGCAATGATTTAAAGGATATAGTAATCAATCCAAAACAGATAAAGAAACAGATGCAAAACAGAAAATTGGAGAAATAACGGCACTGGAGCATCACAAAGTTCTAGAACACAAAAAAGGAACGTTTCTGAAAAAAAAAAAATCTGGATTACATTAGAGAAGACATCCTTGCAACCTTTTAGTCTATGGCACTAAACTTCAGTCTTAATTAGGGAACCGATTAACGGTTTGATGTCAAGTTGAGATCATATAGTCTTTTAAAAATAGAGTACAACTAAAGGGGTTTTCCCTTTGGCTTTTCAGGGACATTTCAGTTTCAGAGAGTGTTTTCAAGTTTAAAGTTAAATTAACAGACTACCCCATTTTGGAGGAGATAGATAGAAAAAATAATTGAAAGCACTAATATAATTTATCGTAGGTAAGAACAAAATCATGCTACAACAGTATAAAAAGGAAGCAGTAGAGGTAATATTTACAAGATATGGAAGATTAACATAACAAAATATACATTTTAAGAATGCAACATATAGAAATATTTAAAGCTATAAACAGATAGTGTAGCTTTTCTTAACATTTCAACTTACAACTGAGATTGTAGCTTGCACTGAGAATTACAGAACAAATAGTAACTAGTAATAATATCTTAATTACTGGAACTTTTTTGAAGATTTACAACACTTTTTCTTGTGAGCAGCCATTCTGTCCCGCATTATTAATACTTTGGAACATCGACAGCAAACCATCTCATCTGTATCACTGGGAAAAAAAAAGGACAGCATTCAAAAACAATCCTAGAAATTTTCTTTGAAAAGCATCAACAGATTTTTCAGACTCTATTACCTGTCAGGGCAACATTCTGCTCTGTGTTTGAGTTGTTTTTTATAACTTGGAAAAACCAAAGAACATTTCAGGCATTTCAGGAGTTTTATCATATGATTATTGCTGTAGTAACAAAAACCCAACATAAAAGAGGTACACTGAATACATGGCATCCTTCTCAGGGAAATGACTGTATCCTGAGATGACACCCAATGTAAATGCAAGAGTTGAAATGACATACCTGTCAGGACAGCAAATAGCCTGGTGTTTGAGAAGTTTCTTTTGCGTTGGGAACAACAAAGAGCAGTTTTCACATCTCTGTGCTTCCTTTCCATAATGTTTACTGTAAAATATAATGCGTCAAAGTAAAGGAGCAAACAAGAGAAGAAAAACAAAATAACTAATTAATGTACCTAGTTAGTGGTTTACCTACCCTTTAGAAGTACACTCTCTTTGATGTTGTTCATGATGCATCTGTCTGCTGAATGCCTTAAAACAATGAATGCATTGCCACAGCTTTTTCTTGGACCTAAATAACATAACATTAAGTAAATGTAGGAGCACAAAAATTCACAAATCAAAGAATGAAAAAGTGGCTTACTTCACATGACACATGCTTTGATGACGCTTCAAGAGTTTATGTCTCCTAAAAACTTTTCCACAATGTTTACAGGCTGATACATTGGAATCTGATGAGTAATTAGTAGACTCCACATTACTTTCATGAGTTACATACAACTTGCTGAAAATAAAGAAACGAGAAAGGGACCATTACAATTCAAATCCAATAACCTTTCAGTTTATTGAACCTTTAAAAGATTTAAAAAGAAAAAAAAAAACAGACCATTCAGGTTGCTCTTCCCAATGTCGCTCCAAATGGTCCTCTATTGTGAATTGTTGTTTGCATTTCCCACAACACAGAGCAGATGCTTCTTCATCGATGCATTGTGAATCATCATCGAATGAAGTTCCTAATGGGAGCTCATCAGTTTCAGTGTCATTGAGGTTTTCCATTTTAGGTTGCAATGGAATTGAATCATGAATTTGATAAGAAGGAGATAAAGGCCTTAGAAGAGAAAGAGAAAAAACACATTTTACTTTTTGGAAAAAAAATGATAATTGTGACCATTTTAAAATCTGTTAAGCTCCAATACTCACTCAGCTTTTACAACACTGTAACAAGAATCTGATAACATCTGTAGAACCTCACTGGTTTCGACTTGAGAGACAGACCTGAAGAGGTACGAAAACAGAATAAAATTACAGGCATATACAACATGTATTGCAGATAAATATTTGAGAAATCGACTGTACCTGTCCATGTCACCAACTGCAGCAGATAGGTCGCTTAACAAACTGGCATTTAAATTTGAGGTTTGAGATGCATCTTGTTTCTTATCATCTGCATTGGTATCAAGATTTGACAGCCTAGAAAATAAAAATGTTTGGTTACATGAGTTTATCGACAAATAAAGCAAATGCTGGAAACAAGAGTGGGGGGGAAAAAAGGACATCACTTACTTTGAGAAAGAACAGACAGATTTATGACGATCAAGCCATCTTGCACTAGAAAAGCATCTGGCACAATTTTGACAAATCCAGCTTGGTTTTCTGAAAGGAAAAGCACCTACATGTGTAGACAATGTTGTGGACTCAAATCAAGTCAAATGAATTTTATTAGTTGAATCTGCAAACAAATATCATGAAGATAAGTCTTACCGCGAAAGATATATCTCATCTCTGCATTTTCTCGGTGGTTTAAGAGGTGTTACTGTGGTGATATTAGGGCTCCAACTAAAAATTAAAAAGCATTAACAAAAGAAAAAGTACAGTGCCAGCTGACATGTCAAGAAGCAACAAATACTAACTCTGTTGAGTTTGTTTGAGGATATTTTCGTGGTCTCCCAGGTCTTTTCTTAATAGGTCTACCTCTCTTCTTAGGAGGAGATTCTATAGGAAATTTAGGTTCCACAATTATTGAAGTAACCTGAATAGGGGAGTCTGCAGAATCTTTCACCAGCACAGCAAATGCCTTCTCACAAGCAGCTGTTCAACGGGGGAAAAAAAAAAAGAAGAAAAAATTTATTATAAACATCTAAAAGGACAAGTTCCAGTGGGAATTTACATGGGTAAAAACAACAGTGACATGCCAATTCTTAAAATCCCACCATACTTAAAAAAAAAAACCTAATAGAGACAAGACAGAAAAAATTAGATACCTTTTTTGCAGTCTAAACGAATCTCTTCAAACAGCTTGTGTAGCTGTGATTGTAACTGGAAAGCAATGGTTTGAGATATGTTAGTGAAACTTAAGGACAGACAAAACTTAAAAACAAGAATGTGAATTTGAAGCACAAACCTCCATGTACTTTGCAAACAAAGGATGACGGGACATGGCCTTCCACATGGTTTCATCATCCCCTGAAACAAATCAGTGTGTGAGAGGAAATTATACAGGTTATATAAAAAGATTAAACTTGGATTCACTCTCTTACAATCAAATACTGGACGTTGAAAAGGGGCCTTTGCTTTTTTTGATAAGCAAGGTGCAACCTGCTTAACTGGAGAAGATGCACTTTGAAGTTCAAGATTGGACATTAAGATGTTTTTGTTCACGTCTTGTGATCTCCTGTCTTCTTCAGTTGGAGATTTTGGTGCACATTTTTTCTTGTCACCCCATGAATCAAAATTCTGGCCTTCTTCTCCAGACACATCATCAGGAGAGCTGCTATCCTATGAAACAAACAATAAGTTTACCACCAATTCCACCTAAGGCCACAACTATTGTACAAAGTTCGAGTGGGTACTTACTATGTAGGTATAACTCTTTAATTTCAACACTGTTCCCCGCATTGTTTCTTCTATAACCAAAAGACACAAATTGAAATACTACACCTCCGCCGACAATTCACAAATTATATTGATTGTCATTAGAAATGGTGTTAGATTGCGGAAGTAAGACAATCTTGAAAAATCTGCAAGTTGTTGCATGTGAGCTAGGAAATTTTCATTAAAATATTTTATTTTTTTCAATTTTAGGATCAACACATAATGTTGGCTAAATTAGGGGCAGTTGTGAAGCAAAGAAAGAAAAGGTCGACGATTCAAAGACGGATTTTTTGTTTCAAATATTGAACCAAACGAGTTAAAATAAAAATTCCGAGTAATCGCGCGTGATAGCACAACTGGTTGGTCGTTTTTTTTGTTGTTTTTTTTTTAAAAAAAGGTAAAAAGCAAACAAATCCGAAGTAATATTAAAAGAAAGGTTAAGATAAAGTTTCAATCGGGCAAAAAATTCCCACGTTCAACATTAACTTGTAAAGTTACTATAATATTTATCTACTTTTTTAAAAACTACACGAGACGAGAATTTTGTCAAATTTGATAGAACTTTAACAATACGTTGCTTGTTTGACAGTAGGATTACAAAAAAACTGCGACAGTCAGACTCACGTGGAAAAATTGCCAGATTCAAGTGAAATATGGCATACTGGCAGTAAAACGATTGCGCTGAGAAATACTCTCATTAAACAATGGCAATAGACTCCACGAAAATTATGAGATTTATCCCGGTCGAGTTGCGCGAATCGCAATATTACTCCGCTGCTCGCTGTTGTTCTTTTTAGCACATGTTCCATACTCTGGAACCATGAGTGAACGAGTGCAGTAAAATTATCTGATCGAAGAGACTGCACCACTTCGGCCAAAATCTAATAAATTGCAACGTAACAAAACAGACACGTCAAATAGGTTAGTGCTTATATTGACGCACTATTTAATGATCGCGCACGATTACCAGTAGTCTCCCATCATCTCATCCCAATCTTCTCGTGAAGGAGACAGTCAAAGAGGAATGGATAGACAAGGAAGAGACAGAGACGGTGATGTTTCATAGTCAAAAGGTGAGGAAGGGAGTAAAGGAGGATGAGGTGGATGAGGAGAAAAGAGAAGTCGAAGCGAAGACGAACGACGAGACGAACTAAAAGACAAACAACAATCCCCCCCTTCCCCCAACCAACCTCTCCACCGGTATGCGGGTTTAATCGGTTAATTAATTTGGGGAATTATTTCATTTCTCTTATTTGACGTGTTTTTGAAAGAGCAAACATGACGTATACTGAGTGTCTTGAATCATCCTTGATATTGTTTTGTCGGTTGTACAGTTTGTCTCTGCAATCCTCGCTAGCTTCAATTTCTCTAATCTTACACATTCACATTGTTTCTCATTTTAAACATAACATATCAGGAGAAGTTCAATTTTTTTTCATTTTTTGGCCTTTGTGAGTTTGAGTGACAAGGCTTTATTTGCATGTGAGCTCAATGGGCTGTCTCTCATGAAACCATGATAAACGCTCCCTTCTTCAATGTTAGTGGTAAGATTGTAATTAGTTATTCTAGAACTGAAAATTATTTCCTTGATTTTGATGAAACATTGGAAAATAAGAAGTTAAACAGGAGCGTTACTTTGAGTGGGAAGTAGATTTGTATGAGGTCATATTCCCAGTCACATTGTAAAAGTTACAAAATCTTAACAATTGTTTTGAACAATGAAGATTGACGATTTTGGCAGAGGATTCAATTGCATGAGGGCAACTGAACTGACACAAATTCACAACTTCTGCCCTTAATTATGGTGTTTATGTTTTGTGGCCAGGTTGCTAAGCAACCGACTGGTGGCCCCCTTCAGGACCCCCTTACCCTAGCTGTACAGACATGTGGGAGGGGACTTGTTGGAGAGGGGAGGGAAAGGGCAGGGTTGGGTTGGATGGATATGGCTGTGGCAAGGGGGGTGAGGGTGAAGGGCTGTTAGTTGGAGGGGAAAGTATAGAGCTGAAGTTGGAGATTGTCAAACTATCGGGAGTCCCATTGCTTTTGTGTGGCAGGGACCCATCACGTGACTATAATGGATATAGGTGTGTGTCTATAGAAAATTATTGCAGCTTATAAAGTCAAGAAAATGTTTTAAAACTACAATGCGTTTGAAGTTAAGAAACAGGAAAGGCCAAATGAGGTGGACTGTGTAGTAGTCCAGTGGCCTGCACAGGAAATAATCAATACCTGTGTGCGGGGGAAAGGAGGCCATCTGATGTGTTAGTGTGTTTTGTTTGGCAGAGTTTTTTTCTAGTCTTGACAGCTTAGAGGAGTAATTTGTACTTTCAATAGACAATGAGAAATGGTTTTCTTAGGGTAAAATATAACCAGTGACATCTTGTCGAGAAAAACATAATGCTTGATAGTCTAAAAACTGCAACTTGCATGTTTTGTTGGTAACTTACTGTAGCATCTCACTTTATAGTGAATAATCAGATGTAATACTTTCTTTTTACAATATCTCATTTTTTTAGGTCTGTTTTGTAAGGTGTAGTCTGTAAGTGAATTTTCAAAAAAAAAAAAATTAATGGTTTGGTCTTCACTGGATTTTTTCCCTTTCAGATTTTATTAAAACAACCTGTCTTGCATCCGTTAGAAAAACTAATTAATTATGAATCGTTATATACAACTTGATCAGCTCGGAGATGGAACATATGGTTCTGTTGTTCTTGGGCAAAGAATTGATACAGGAGAAAAAGTAGCAATCAAACGGTTGGTAAAATTGCTCTGCTATTTTTTTTTTCCTTGCCGCTCTTTTAAGTATGTTTTGCTCAGGTTGTTTTTTGTAATTTTTCATTTATTTATTTTAGGATGAAAAGAAAATATTTTTCATGGGAGGAAGCAATGAATTTAAGAGAGGTCAAGGTATGAAGTCAATGTTAAGCTTAACAGGAAATGTACTCTTTAATAGCTTATTTTGTTTTGTTTGAATACCAATTATTTCTAACAAAAATAAATTTTAGTCCTTGCAGAAGCTATCCCATGCCAATGTTGTGAAACTAAAAGAAGTGATACGTGAAAATGATACACTTTACTTTGTATTTGAGTACATGAAAGAGAATCTTTATCAATTGATGAAAGACAGGTAAGGGGTACTGAGGTATTACATTAGTGGTATTTTTTTTAAGTAACAGAGATGAACACTATAATGTCTCTTCTGTTTTAGGCAAAAACCCTTTCCTGAATCTGATATTCGCAATATTTTGTATCAAGTTCTTCAGGGTTTAGCCTTTATGCATCGACATGGGTTCTTCCACAGAGATATGAAGCCTGAAAATCTCTTATGTATGGGCCCAGACCTAGTTAAAATAGCAGATTTTGGTTTGGCAAGGGAAATACGTTCTAGACTTCCATTTACTGATTATGTGTCAACCCGTTGGTAAATAATCAAGCCCCTTCTTTTCTTTGGTCTCTATAAATTAAATGTATGGAAGAGTGTTATGGTACCACCCTTCTCTTTTAGGTATCGAGCTCCTGAAGTTTTGTTGCACTCTACAAACTACAATAGCCCAATTGATTTATGGGCTGTGGGATGTATCATGGCAGAACTATACCTTCTAAGACCTCTGTTTCCTGGTAACAGTGAGATGGATCAGATATTCAAAATTTGTTCATATTTGGGAACACCAGATAAGGTAAGAAGATATTGCTCAAAATTTCGTTCAGTCTCGGTACACACTCAGTCCTATTTTTTTTAAACTGGAAATGTTCAATTACAGCACGAATGGCCTCAAGGATTCCAGTTAGCATCATCTATGAATTTCAAGTTTCCTCAATTTTCTCGTACTCAACTTCCCTCAATTGTACCATCTGCCAGTAAAGATGGTATTCAGCTACTAGAACTCTTACTTATGTGGGCACCTAACAAGAGACCAACTGCCCAGCAGGCCTTGAGGTACCCTTACTTTCAAGTTGGACAGCGCCCTCCTGCAGGAAACGTCGGTCAAAAATCAAGACCAAGTGCACAATTGCTTCCATTAAACATTGTTGAGTTGCCAGATAGCAACCAAAGGATGGAATCTGCCAAAGCAAATCGTGATCTTAGTTCCTCACTGAAGCAAGTTGCCACAGCATCAGAGCTGCTTTCTCAGTCCATAAATGAATCCCAAGTTAGCAAACATAGTTCATCAACTCTGATTGCCGATCCTGACTCCGATGTTGTAACAGAAAACATGCAACATGTGATGAAAGATTCCAAGCTCACTTCTAATCTGGGATCTAGTTTTAATAAGGGACCAGAACGCAGTTCTCTCCGCACAAGAAACAGTTCTTTTTCAAACAGTCTTTTTCAAAGTAAATCCCAGGCTATGAGTAGTAATGTTAAAGGAAATAACCCTGAAAACAAGAAGCAGAATGTAGTGAGTACTGGTCGCAGACAGGGTGGTGGAGAGTCTGAAAGTAGACGATCAAGTCTTGCTCAACTCCCTGAAACAAATAGATTACCAAATGCTCCACAACAAGATCCAGTGAGAGACTTCATGGCTTCAATTGGTTTGTCCACTGATAAAGTTATGTACTCCCACAATCAAGAATTAAGCTCATCAGCCCATAGGTCTGTATTTAACAGAGAAGCACTTAATTTTAACAAAGGGGGCAATCAAAAACCTCGTAACTACCCATGGAATGATCAAAGCAATTATGATACATTTGCAGATATATTAGGGTGAGTACGATTTTTACAACGTCACTTTCTACATCTCATTGAGCTGATTTCAGTTCATCCTTATTTTTTTATTTTTTAGGAGCAAAATTGTAATGCCAGATAGTTCCAACAAACCACAAATGATGGGACAGAAAGAAAACCGCCAATCTGCAAATTGGCAGCTCTCATCATCTTACAATGCTGATGCATTTCAACCACGTAAATTGAGTGCCAAGCAACATTACCTGGCAGTTGCTCGGTATGTTGCAGGTCAGAGCACAAATATTACTAGGTGTGTATTGATATCTAATAATTATTAATTTCTCACATAAGAAGTTTTTTTAAAGTTTACATCTGAAATTATGAATGTTCCAGAGGTAGAGATGACTTAAGTCTAGGACTTGGTGAAACTCCTGCGGCTCTCCCAGAAAATGAATCATCATGGAATCCGTCACATTCTCACATTGACTCTGCAAAAAATCATTACCTATCTAAATCTAGGTATATTTCAGGTCATACAACAAGACTCCCCCTTCATGATTTTGTGAACTCTGGTAATTTTTAGGATTAGCTGTGGCAAACTGATTTTTAGTTATGCTCTTACTTTCCTTCTATTTAAACATTCTTTTGTTGGTTTAGGATCTGAATTGAAAAATTCTGCTACTGTTGGTGGAAGTCGTCAAAGTGGGGGTATCCATGGCCGCACTGATTGGGCTGCCAAGTAAGTTTGCACTTGTAATATTAACTCTTAATCTCTTTCATACATACACTTGTTTTCATTCTAAAATATTTTGTTTCAGATATTTGAAGTAACAAGAAATTTCCAAAGCTAATAATCCTCAAGCTGTGATAATACAATGTAAGTCATTTTATAACTAACAAAACTGCCAGTCATATATCTTGTTTGTGGAGCTGCAAATCAAGTAGAGGGTTTGTACTTACTCTTGGAAGAGATTTCATGTTAGCTTATGAGCATTTCTCTTCAAAAATATCTCACGTAATCTTGTCTTGTCTGTTTTTGTGGGAGAACAATCAGTTTTAATCTTCCTTGTTACATACAAATTTAATTTTCCTTGCTTTAAGAACTGCTAGATTTCTAGTAATAATTATAATATCTCTAAAATATGATTAAATTTATCTAAGACAGAATTTGTTCAAAACAATGAATCAAAACTACATAATCACATTATAAATGAACCAATACTTGTTAATGCATGCACTTAGTCTGTCTTTTTCTGCTCAAAGTGACTTTCCTTTGTTTGCTAATCTTTGAATTAGCATGAGAGACCTCAAATGAATAATTTACCTGAGCACAGGTATTTCTGTACACCTTGTTACAACACAGTTTTTCTGTTAAAGTTTCAATGTGCAAGGTATATTTTAGGGAGATTTGCAATTTAATTACGTTTGATTGCTGTGTTCATTACATCAAATCTAGTCAGAAACATATGTGATCTACGGCTCAATCATTTTTGAGAAGGTCATCTAGTCTATAGGTATTATATTTTCATGTGACTGATGTGATTGTTTTTTATCTTAATGCAGAGATATGATATAAACAAAATGATTATAAAAATAGTTTTCTTAAAACATCAAGTAGTGAAAACATTGAGATTAGAATGTTTATTTTTTTAATGCTCATCAATCTGACATTCATTGACTACGTCAAAATTTCCTCATTTAATGTTCTTTTATTGGATGTTGAAAATTTTACTTTTTGTCTGCGTAAAGGCATGATTGCATTACCTTACAGAAGGAATGTGTTTTATTGTGATGTTGACACTTTTGGACTAGTTGAATGTAAACGTTAGAATCTAGATGCTAGTCTGGTGTATAGACAGTGTATCGTTTGTTAATTTACAGAAAATGTCATCGAAATACTTGGGACCACTTATTCCAATTTCCAATATTTGTTGTAGCTGCTTGGAAAACTGGCATTGATTTTACCAATACATGAAATCTTAGTTTTTAAGGATGAAATTTGTACCTGCCTATAGTGTTCTGTTATGGAACACACTATAAGTGAAGCGTTTGTAATTTGGTCCACCATTTTCCGTCCAGGCACATGCTTTTTGAAAAGGGTGTGTAATGATGATTGTGTGTTTTAGTGGCCTCAAGGTAAATCAATTTGATTAACAGGGTTTTGTTGTTGTTGGTTTTTTTTCATTTGTATTTGTACATTTGCAACAATTACTTCTATTTGCACTTTAATTAAATAAATCATAGATGTTTAATTTCAAGACATCTTTCACGTCGTCTGCTACTCTTGGATAACTGTAACCAACCTTCCATTCCATCAAACATATTTCTTAAATGTACACTTACAGCATTTTTTATTTGTCCTAAATACAATATACATGATTTTAAAAAAAAAGTTTTACTTCACATCTACAGTCTCTTCCAAATATGAAATAGTTTAATTAATGTGTGGATTATCCCTGGCCGTATGCTCTGGACTGCTCTCATGGCCACCAATCCCATAGAGCAGTAGCAATAGCGGACCGTTATCTTTCTATCGAAGCACTGCCGGTGAAACCAGCCCGTAACGTTCCGAAGTATGCTGAGTGGGAGCCTCAGAAATCAAGACTGTTCAATATTTCTC